GCCATCCTAGTCTGGGTTGAACAGCTTGAGAATTGAAAAAAGAGAACGTTAGGAATTAGCAGTTACAAGGAGATAGTGGCATTTTTATTGAATCAGCATGAAAAAGGTTATAAACGAGAGATAATGAAAAAAAGGAGAGTGGTTACCAGTGCCAAACGGCAATTTCTGCCCAATGTTGTCCAGGGTTCGCGTTTTGTCTGTGGAATTGCTCATTTATCATACGTCATAAGAAAACCCATTCATGTAATTTGAAATTTCTAAAACTGCTTTAAATCATTCTGCTGGATAATTTACATGCATTTTGCGCACCTGGTCTTTCCAAGGGCTTTCCTGTCCAAGCAAAGGTTAAATGTTTTGACCCACGTTCCCACGAAGTTTACTATGCTCTTTGGGAATGCTCTTCAATGCCAGGCTTCTCTTTGTAAACACCTAAAGAACTGTATAGAGAAAAGTATGAAGAATATGTATATTGACGTTTTGGGTGTAAATTAAGGGCTAACCGGAGAACAAAGCTGTGCCAGCACTTAATGACTTTTAATAATGCGTTGATCTTCCAGGAATACACGCGATACAGGCCTCAAGGTTTGTAGAGCTTGATTTAAAAATGTACAACTCAGCGTGTTTTGGTTCATATGTCAGAGTCTGAACGCTAGTGTCCGATGTTAGACACTAGTGTCCGATTTTAGACACGAGTGCCCGATTCTAGACACTAGCGTCCGATTCCATACACTAGAGTCCTCTTTAAGACACTGGTGTCTGATTTAATATACTAGAGTCTGTTTTTAGGCACTAGTATCCAATTTCAGACACTACTGTCCGAATTTGGACACCAGCGAACGATTTTAGACACTAGCGTCCGATTCCATACACTAGAGTCCGCTTTTAAACACTAGTGTCTGATTTCACATACTAGTCTGATTTTAGACACTAGTATCCAATTTCAGACACTACTGTCCGAATTTGGACACCAGCGAACGATTTTAGACACTAGCGTCCGATTGCATACACTAGAGTCCGTTTTTAGACACTAGTGTCTGATTTCATATACTAGAGTCTCATTTTAGACGTTATAGTGTCTGATTTCATATACTAGAGTCCCATTTTAGACACTAGTATCCCATTTCAGACAGTAATGTCCGATTTTGGACACTTGTGAACGATTTTGGACTCTTGTGAACGACTTTTGACACCACTCTCTGATTTTAGACAGAAGCGTTCGTTTGCACAAATGCGTAAAGAAATGACCACAATTTGGCTCTGCTGCGAACCCTTAAGAGTCAAAAGCAATAGTATCAACTCTAAGTTTAACCGCAAGGTCTTGCGATTGCTGGAAATTAAATGATCATGACATATAAAATTTTAACCACCTCAGTTAAAATTTTATCTCCAGAGGGGATATCAGCGGTCGGACGACCAGATCATCTTCCCAGCTTAATATACCGCTTTTTAAAACCAAGTCGGGAAAGAGATCTTTTTATTACAGAACTGTAACATTGTGGAATGCCTTGAAACCCATTCTAAATTAAGTGAATCCCTTATCATTTTCAAACGTAAAATGAAAGCCTTCCTTTTAAATCAATTTTAATGTCATAAATTTTAGATGCGAATAGTTTCTTAATAGTCTATAGATAATTTTTGAGTAATTTTTAATTAACTCAAATCAATTTTTATTGTCATAAAATTTATATGCAAATAGTTTCTTAATATTGTTTATTGACAATTTTTGAGTATTTTTTGATTATCAGTATTATTACTATTTGTCTCTGAAAGTCCCCACGGGGAGTTGATAATAAAATTTGTATTTAGTTCTTATTAACCCAGCGGGAGGTCTGTATGGGAGAATCTTCACCGAGGTCGCCAGTACAGAGCGAACGCAGTGAGGTCTGAACCAGCGACCGAGGTCAAGATTCTCCCATACAGACCGACCTAGCTCGGTTAATAAGATGTTTATTATATGGCTGTGTCTTATATGCCAATTTTTTATATTCTTTGTACCTTTTTTTTTCTAGACCGGTCTAGATGCCGGTCTAGATGGGAAAATCTGGACCGCTTTCAAAATTGATTTCAGCCAATCAAATTCGTGAATTCGGTGGTTCCCAGTCCTTGTGAGACACAGCCATACAATAATGTATTGTATTGTATCATGAAGTCAAGATGCTTTTGATTGTTAGCCAAATTCTCCTGGTAAATACCTCAGAATATGTTTAGAGAGCAGAATGGAGAATATGCATACTGGGGTTTGGTTCTAATGGGTTAAACAGTTAATAATGTTGTGATCACCTAAGATGCCACGGCTTATCGACTCCGAATTATGTGTGGAGCCTTCCAAGACAGTTGGAGGGGTATAATGTTGACGTCTTGGTTTGTAGACCTCACTCAAATGCATATGTGATATTACTCGGCGCGTTTAGGTTGACTGGTGTATGAGCTTAGAAATCAAAAGATTCTGTTACAAATCTAATAACATCGTGATGACTAAAAACTTCTTGGTGCCGTGTGAAAAGCTTCTGAATCTGTTCAAATACACTGAACCACATGCGCATCCCACAACTGAGTACGAAACACACTGGCGAACCAGTGAACCACTGAAATCTCGAAGTTGATGCGCGTAACAGGTTCAAAGCTTCTGATTGGTAATGGAAATAGCGCGAGGGTTTGCGAACCAAACACAACCATTAACTGTTAATGCTTAACATAGCAATAATCCCACTTAAAATAGACTCGGGCACAAAACCATCGTATTCCAAGCGTTTATTCAAATTTAGCTCACACTTGATACACCAAAAACTCCACCATTAGAATATTTTTTCCTCTAGCTTTACAAATAGATATCTATAAATACGGCATTTGAAACTAAAATGCCAAAAAAAAAGGGATAAAATAATTCAATTGTCAACATATTTGAAAATGTACCAACACGCTCCAAACACGGTATGTAACTAAGATCGTCCAACAGGAATGAATTCACCTTTTCAAACTTATCGTCTTACATTAAACACCGAGTGCTTTTTTAGAAAGAATTTCTTTTTGCTTGAAAAACATAACGGTAATTGAATTTAATTGCTTTTGAAATAGCTCCAAAGATTTTATTGTGGTCATGTTGGACAATCTTAGGTTCCTTGTAACGCCTGCGCTATTAAAATAAAATATTTGAAGAACAACCCAAGAACTGCTCGATGACAGTGCCCCCTTAAAGCAGTTTTCAATCGAGTGTCGAAAAAACGAAAACCGAAGAAATCCCTGCAAACAATCAAAATTGAAGCGTGAGAAAACGCTAATGGCCAAGTTGTTTTTTAATTTTGGATCTGATTGGTCGAGAGGACGGCACGAGATTTCTGGACCAATCACAGAGAAAAGTTAGGTAAACCAAAGCAATACCAGATTACTTCTGACACCCAACTGAAAATTGCTCTAAAATCATGGAATACAAACGTAGATTAACCAAGAACGCCATATTAAATCTATCCTTACTTAATCATAAATAACAACTTTCGTGAATATAATATCTTAAGTAATCACTAAGTTAACAAGCAAATCCTGATTGACTCCGTTATTGCATAATTGTATGTCTCCCTTAGTGCGTTTGCTGTTAAAGGTAAAAACCCTTAACACCATTAAAGCAATACCAACTTCTGCTGAATGAAGCCTCTTTCGATTTTCGACTTTGCGTTGTGTAGTTGGCTTTAAGACTCGATCACGAAAGAAGAAACGATCATTCTATCCAAAGAGAAACTTAAAATTTCTCATCTGTAAGAACAAGAGCCTTGGATTCGTTCACCACTCCGGAAAACATCAGAATTGTCTTTTCACTGAAATACAGATTCGCTCTTTTTCCTCCGCACACTGCAGTTTAAAAATCTTTCAACTAAAAGGGTATTAACTTAGGGTTTACTCTAGATTCAAGTCCTTTTCTGATCACATTTCCATTCCCATCAAAACACTTTGAATAATTGTTTTTCTTGCTCTAAGCCTTCAAGGGTCTTAAAGCGCAAACACCGAAAAAATTTGCTCAGTTAAGCTTTCGAACACATCAAACTACACCAAGTGTATGCGAAGGCAAACACAATGATAAATGCAAATAGACTTGTGCAAACAGTTTGTGTTTTAATCAGTGTCGCAGAAACAATATCTGGGTTGCTATTCCTTGGTTCTAATCACTTTTCAAAACTTATTTCGCAATCAAACGATCTGCAACACCTGGACCTAAAATGCTTTTTCAATATAGTTTTCGAATCAAACCTAAGATAATTGGCCTCTGAATATTTTCGTGATAATTTACTTATCATATTGGGAAAAGAAAGAAAATTTGTGAATAAGTTTTAAATTCTGTTTAATTTTCTCGTTCATGGTGTTCAGTGCGCGAAAATTCTACAAAAACGGCTTATTCTTTACTTCTAGCTATCAAGTCTTCTAGACTATATGGAAATTTATGCACAATAGTAAAATTCAAGTTCGTTTTAAATTTTTACTATAATCCCATGGCGATAGAAAAATACATCCGGCTGGAATACTAAAACATTATTCAAAGTCTCGCTTGTTTTGATACTTTTTAAAACACACCAGGGTTTCAAACAGTTCAAATCTGGAGACTTCCTTTGTATTGAACAACTCAATTCCATTAATCAAAAGACCTTATTTCAGGGTAGGGCGCCGTCTTTGATGAATAGCAGGCAGGATTACCAAGTCACGCTAAAATTTTCTTTTAGAGGCGATATAGAGTTTTGTAGCTGTATTTTGGCTGCAAGTAAGAAAATGCCGCCAAAAAAACCTACATCTTTCACATTTGAATTATTCACACAGAAAGTTGAAAAACATTGCAAAACTATCGACCTGTGCGATGACATTTAACTGAGTCTTTGTCACGCGATGCAATTTTAAAAATAGAAGGATAAAAAAAAAGACTTGTATTTTGGCTTTTATTACGAGTTTCGATGGAAATAAAAAATTTACTTTATCATAAAAAAGACGTAGTTATGACGTTGAAGAGATTAATATGATATGAAAGAATTGCAAACAAAACCTCGAAGCTCGAAGTTACCTGCAACATCAAGATGGCGCCAGAAAGCTGTATAGAAGGTCTGCGAGTTCGAAATTCAATTGACTCAAAGCAACACACCACATATTGTTATTCAAACTGTGTAAATAACGATTTATGGAAATTAAATTAGACACTCAAATATAATCTTGCAATTATGCAATGTCGATTTTGATTAAATTTATTATAATTTAGATCAAATTTATCTGCTTCATATGACAAACCGGGAAGGTTGGCCTTTTTCGGTCAGGATCAACCCTACACTTGCTGCCATATATCAAACAAAACTTAAAAATTGAAAATCTCGAGCTTCTTGTGTAAAATTAACCCCAGAATAAAACGAAATAAAATGTAACGATATCAACAATCTCTCTTATGGTCTTTCAATGAAAATCTAGGTTTCAAACACATAATTTTTTTTTTTTTGTAAAAGCTGCACTAAGCAGCATAGAAAACAGCCAAGAAATATTAATTTTGAAATATTCCTGACGATTTCTTTACGTATGAACACCCAAAAAATTTATATCAGTGGACAGGACTGAGAGATTCAGTTGACACTGATGGACTAGTTACAATTAGATCAGGTTCAGTGGACTGGACTAACAGATCCATATGAAACTGACAAATACATTACTCACAAATTACTCATTATGAGTTTAGCAGAACGCTTCATATTTTCCTCTCGCTTTAACAAATCTTCAATTTTCTTAGTTTGCTCGATGTTCCTAGAGATAGCCACAAACCTGGCTCCATTTAGGGGCGCTCGACCGCGTATCTCCCGGAGGGCTAGGACCGGGCTTGATGGATCCATTTGAAATACCCACTGGGGCTCTGGAAGGTCCAGTCCTTCCTCAGCTAAGCTTGTAGTCACGACAATCTGAAATTTTCCCTCGCGTATTTGTACGAATGGGTCTATTTCCAAGGGATAAGCCAATCCTGTACAACAAAAAAGAAACGTTTTCAAATAGATTCTTTAAACACTTTTCCTCTCATCTTGAAATAGAGATGCTACGGAGATCGAAAAATATGAAAACAAGCCTTTACCTTTATCCGCTGATCTGCCAGCATTTATGAATGTGGTCCTTACTCCTCGAGAAGTCAGCTCCCTTTGATTTGAAAGATACTTCGACAAACAGCGTGCTGTGTGTTGTCGTTTGACGAGAACCAAGGCAAGACAATTGCTTCGACCGATCACTCCGTTCCAGTTTACTCTCACCAACTGCTCCATGAGTCGCTCCGCCCCTGAATTTCGACGTTCGATGATCGATGGGAAACCTATGGAGGAGATATATTAAATTAAAAGTGTACCCCAAATGTTTAGGCCATTTTGTATGTATTGATATATCTAGGACAGGCTATAAAATTCCCTGACTTTCTACGACTCTACTTAGTCTCTTTTGACGTTTTTCAATACTTGCGACGGAGAAGCTTGTATTACTCTTCGAGAGAGTGGAGAATGACAAGTTCTGTTGCTCGTTCTTATAAAGAACGAGTCTTCGGCTCACCGTTCATATTGGCTAAATAAAGTCACTATTACCATACCCCTTTACATGTTTCCGATCACACTTGCTAGCCACATTACAATCGAGCAAGTCTCAATTGAGCGTCGGACGTAATCTGGCATTGCTTAGGTTTCTCTTTACTTCGTTATGTGCGGTTCAGAAAACTCACGCCACCTAATCAACCAATTAGATTCAAAACTAAAACCAGTCGCGACTTAGTTACACGCGCTTTCCCGCGCTTCGGGCAGATTTGTCGTAGTGTGCTCCTCGTGGCTGTTGTAATTGCTTTGATTTTGGTTTGACGACACTCAATTGAAAAACGCTCCAATGTTGACGAAAGCTAGGCCAAATCAGGCGATAAATAGTTTTATTTAGAGTGAATACTACCATACTTTACCTTGTCTGAGATATAGCTCCAAATAAGCTCTGACTTCGCCGCATGGAAGACCCATACTTTCTGCCCAATGGAATCCGTGAGGACACGCCTCTTGTGCAAGCTCAGTCATCTGGTACAACGCTATTTGATAACCGCACTCCTGCAGCGTACACACAGCCTCACAGAGCAGCTGGAAGTGAAGCAAGGCGTTCAAAGCGTTAGCCTCGGGTTGTGACTGTAAAATATTGTCAATGACACCAAGAACTGGGTAGATATCATCGATGCTGAATGGGCCTCCAGATGAGGGTTGAAAAATATCTTTGTAGTCCTTCATGTCGCTCAAACGAACGGTCAGGTTGAACGCTTTAGTGACATATTTCACGAGAATGTCCAAGAGATCGCGCTCATGAGTGGTGTACGAAGCAGAAATACAGTCAGGGGTTGCTCTGTTGGTCTTTTCTTCGAGTTCTTGCCCGTTTCTCGTCACGACCAACAGCTCCGCGTCCCCCAGGTTTCCTAGTAGCCTTTGTAATCTCTTGGTCGTTTTTTCCAAAGAGGTTTCCCCAGCTGGAGATGCTGTCAGTCCAAGGATCTTGGGTCGATGCCCCAAATGGACATCTTCCTGGAGATAAAAGTCCCGAATTATGACGTTGTAGGGATGATCCTTGTTGCAATGATGTGCTTCATCCAACACAATCAAGGACACGTCATCAAAGCGAAGGGTGCCATTATTCAGATGATTCCGATAGCAGTCAGCTGTGATGATCAGCACGTCCTGCTCGTATATGCGTGCATTTCCCTCCAGTTTCCTCATTTCACCACAGACCGCTCCAATGCGGATAGGCCTGGTGCTTTCAAAAGACCCTCGCTCGTCTGCTACTCTAATATGCCCCAGTTCCTTTCTAAGGCAGTCGCTTTGTTGGAGGACGAGGAGGACCCGATCAACCAGAAACACCACTTGTCGAGATGGGTTTAATTTCAGCATGTGTGCAATGACCTGAGCAGCAACCAGTGTTTTCCCCGTTCCAGTGGGTAGAAAGCAAACTCCATTGGTCAACATGGCTTTGCTGTACAACTCTATGTGGTAGTTAAACGGCTGGGTGCGCGTAAACTGCTCCATCACAAATTCCTTGGGTGCTTTGATAAGTGGCAGATGTTGCTGTGGCGGTGCTTTTTGTGACTTGGCCACAGTCTGTTCGTGTCTAGCACTATTGAAGTGCTCGTTGGCTTGCGACTCCGAATTCAGGTGCACGTTGCAGTACTCGCAATACTTCTTGTAGGAAATTGGACTGAACTTGGCCACTTTGTTTTGATGCTTCGTGCTGCGAAGGTGCTCTTCATATTGTGATTCCGAGGCAAACGAGAATTTGCACAATCTGCAATAAGTCCAAGAATTCTTTTCAACTGTCGTAGGAATGTGTCCATTAGAACGCATCCATACCTTCTGGCCATCGATGGCACGTGGAGCCTTCTTTGGTCTACTATCGTATCCAAGAGCAGAAAAATTCCTTCGGGGTACTCCGCCGAGCTCTTCGTAAGAACCTCGTCCAAAAGGCTTCTTGTTTCTCTCGCCGCCAATGACCCCCGGACTTGCTCGCCAATCACAGGTAGGCTGCGAAACCAAAGCCCACACTGTAGTTCCATTGGCTTGAAAAGCTCTGACACGTTCCTTAGTATGGAGTGCACACAGGGCTTCGTACATCTCATCCCGTGTCCCACGGCCTAAAGCTTCGACAATCTGCAAGGGTGTCAGCGCTTCATGCATTTGCAACAGTTGAAGAATACTTTCTTGAAGGTCTGCAAGTTTTGGCTTAGATCCTAAACATCCTTCTGGGACATTTCTGCGTAAAATTTGCTGCCTTCCGTTCAGACTGGAGCCTGATGAAACGACTTCACTTTCGGAATGGCTCCTACCGGACGCTCTAGGAGAGTAATCTGGAGGTTTGCCATGCAAAGGCGGAGATCTCGATGAGTACGTTTCAAGACTTACATCGGACCATCTTCGAGGAATTGGTTCTTCTATACCTTCCTTGCAACCAAGACTGAAGGTGAATGATGAATTGAGACCCGAGAGCACTTGCGTGTTGATGATGTCGGCTGTGTCCTGTCTCTCTTTGGTTAGACCATGTCTTGTAGTCTCAATTTGCTTCAGGTTGTCGCTTGTCTGCAAGAAACAAGAAAATCTTAACGTTTGCAGAAATGTTCTCCTTAACCGTCTGATCTCAGTAGACATGTATGTCAACAACAATTGGTTAATACTGTTGGAACTTATTGACTGGTTTACGAGATTGGGATCGAATACACATCTATTGTCAGAGTAATCCTGTTAGCATACTACGCTGCAATCTGATAGGTTACGCTACTCGGTATCTATTTCATGATAGATAAAGAGTCAGGTAAATGACCCAACAGAGTGATCTACTTTTATCGTTACTCAGTTAGCATCCGAGCACGTCTTCTGTTTACATTTTTTACGAATGGTAGATTTATACGAAGATTATGATAATTGATTCTCTGCTTATGATTTCTAGACGTGGTGGTGGATTCAGGCTTCACCGTCCTCAACTAAACGGGATAAAAAGTTCAAGTTCATAATTCTACAGCCAAACACGTGGAAAAACTCAACTTCGCATGAGCAGACACAAATACAATGTTGGTCACTTTGAGACATGTTCTGTTTTCATATCTCGCCTGCAGCACGTTTGGGTCACTTTGAGATAGATTGTAGAGCTTATCTGTTGCGAAGGCTGTTGTGACCTGGAAAGGGGTAGAGAATCAAAGAGAACCTACATTTATTGTTGAACTGCAACAGAAATCGCAGAGGACAAGCTATATTTCAAACTGTTGGCAGACAGATAACTCAGTAAAGAGACAAAGAGATGCCATGCATCCATCGAGGACAACTAGGCGAGAACTTGTGACCTCAGCCAATTAAACATTAAAGAAGCATCACAATGGAGATTCCCTGTACCTACCTCTGCATTGAACTGGAACAAGCCGTAGCTTAAATTCTCTCCATTCTCAAAATCTGAGCCGCTTCGCTTCTGTTGTCTCGGGGAAGACTTTGGTCTCCCGTGACCAACCGTCAATTCTGGGCTTGGTTCACGCTTCTCTGTTCCATGAATACCATTGCGAGATATCACTTGATAATCCACATAGCCATTGCCCAAGGCTGTGAAATCGTGGGTCTTTCCGAGGCCATTTATAATCCCAAAGCACTGAATCCCATTTGTCGAGGCAAATGCACCACAATTGGTGAATAGCTCTGCAGTGCTTGCTGGAGCAGAGCGAGCTGTAGAAAGAGAAAAAAAAATGGTACACTTATGTTTATCGCAGTTGTGTTCTTTTATGAAAATGCATTCATTGCAATTTAGGAGCTTGAGCTAAGATAGTTCGCCTTGAGAAGACGATAGAAATTGTGATTAATCGTGATCATGTCGCCTTAAGTCCTCTTTAGTGCTCTCATTTTCCGGTTTCTGGATTTCTAGAGCTAAAACTTCTAGCTAAGAGATATAAACTTGCAACTCCTACAAACTGATTTCTTGTATTTGTCGAGGGATGATTATCCCCGATGCGAGAATTTGGTTGTGAAAACTGAAGTACACAAGCCCTCGCTATCCTTGTGCGACAACATTGTCCTGTGATCTCACGATCCCCTATATCACTTTTTTGCTTCACTTGCATTAGTTGTGCAACAAATAACAAACTACAACAAACATATGAAACATATGTGTGAACTGCGGTTATGAGACGTATATGAGAAGGATCGTTGGCAGTAAAGCACTATTTGAGCAATAGTGAAAATCAGACCTGAAAAAAATTTCAGGCCTGTACGGGACTCGAACCACTGACCTCTGCGATACTAGTGCAGCGCTCTACCAATTGAGCTAACAAGCCAACTGGGAGCAGGCCATCAAATTAATTCGATATAAACCCGTAGATGATAAATCAAACAACAACAAACATATGAAACATATGTGTGAACTGCGGTTATGAGACGTATATGAGAACGATCCTTCGCAGTAAAGCACTATTTGAGCAATAGTGAAAATCAGACCTGAAAAAAATTTCAGGCCTGTACGGGACTCGAACCACTGACCTCTGCGATACTAGTGCAGCGCTCTACCAATTGAGCTAACAAGCCAACTGGGAGCAGGCCATCAAATTAATTCGATATAAACCCGTAGATGATAAATCAAACAACAACAAACATATGAAACATATGTGTGAACTGCGGTTATGAGACGTATATGAGAACGATCCTTCGCAGTAAAGCACTATTTGAGCAATAGTGAAAATCAGACCTGAAAAAAATTTCAGGCCTGTACGGGATTCCCGTACAGGCCTGAAATTTTTTTCAGGTCTGATTTTCACTATTGCTCAAATAGTGCTTTACTGCGAAGGATCGTTCTCATATACGTCTCATAACCGCAGTTCACACATATGTTTCATATGTTTGTTGTTGTTTGATTTATCATCTACGGGTTTATATCGAATTAATTTGATGGCCTGCTCCCAGTTGGCTTGTTAGCTCAATTGGTAGAGCGCTGCACTAGTATCGCAGAGGTCAGTGGTTCGAGTCCCGTACAGGCCTGAAATTTTTTTCAGGTCTGATTTTCACTATTGCTCAAATAGTGCTTTACTGCGAAGGATCGTTCTCATATACGTCTCATAACCGCAGTTCACACATATGTTTCATATGTTTGTTGTTGTTTGATTTATCATCTACGGGTTTATATCGAATTAATTTGATGGCCTGCTCCCAGTTGGCTTGTTAGCTCAATTGGTAGAGCGCTGCACTAGTATCGCAGAGGTCAGTGGTTCGAGTCCCGTACAGGCCTGAAATTTTTTTCAGGTCTGATTTTCACTATTGCTCAAATAGTGCTTTACTGCGAAGGATCGTTCTCATATAAATAACAAACTGTGCAGAACACTTCCTCTCACGTAGGAAAAAGCAATAACTCTGACAAAAAAACACTTCCTGTTGAGCTAGAAGTCCAACTGATTTCGATACACAAAACAGCCTTCTTTTAGCGCGAAATTATGCTCAGATATTTGTCTGCGAGCATGATCTGTTCTGAGAGGCGAAAAATAAAGCACAAGGATCTGATCCATGCCCACGGACAAATCTAAGAGCATAATTCCGCTCCATATGGGAGCTTACCGTCAAAAACGTTTACAGAGAAGGATGTTGACTCAAAGACATTCTCTGGTACTACATTTTGAATAAACAAGTACGTCGCTTCTTCTGTTACGACGACAAGACGCTCCTCCATCTTGTGTCAACTTTACATCGAAGAATTTAGTTGTATTGGGCAATATTAACCAGATTTTAGACCAATCCCACGCAGGCAGAAACACTTCATGGATTATTAAAATAAGTGTCTCTCTTCAGTAAAGGCGGAAGTATTACTTTCACTTTGACTTCTTGTTTTTCCATTCAGTAACAATTATAATTCAAAACCCGACTGGATTTCAAAGTACTTTCTACATATTAAGCAGTAAAAGAGCTAAACTAATCCAAGCGACAATAACCGAGGTTTGTATCGCTGAATTCAGCGTGCAAACCGGCCAGCAAACATGAAGCACTCAGGGCTCACTCGAACACGAGGCATCTGTGTACTAGAGCGAGAATGATTCCTAGCTCATCTAAAAACCACACAACTTCGATCATGGGCTGCGAGAAATCTGTAGCCGATAAGAGTGTTCTACGCCGGTTTATCGAATACTGCTCGAGTGTTCCTTTGGAAGTATGTGAACAAACGCGATTCAGAAGTCTTCCGATTACCCTCTAGTGACCCTCATTTTTGATATCAACAAACTTGAAGCGAATGTTGAATCCACGCGAATATGTGAATTCTACTTTTTTAACAAAAGCCCTTAATTCATAGTATCAAACGAAACACGTTCACATCTTCCCCGATTCCTTTCTAAAAACTATCCAGAAAAGGACACGTATGTACGTCGACTGATTTAACTAGTGGTAACAATCTCACACAAAACAGCATTTTCCCACCCGTAGTTCAAAAGGGAAACGACTAGAACTCTTGAATTAAGAAGTCATTCATTGCAAATCGAGTTTCCCAGATACTTACAAAAAGAATGTGGCCAATCCCTTAAAGAGGAAGAAGAGAGAGTAGACCTTTTCAAGTCCATGCTATCGATATTTAACACGGCTGGTCGATCTGATTACGAATTTAGCGTTTTCGGAACTGTTTCGTAGAAGACGCGGTTTCTCGGAAACGCTATTCTGTATATTGTTAGCAAACAAACAGAAAAAATTCAGAGAATTATTCAGGTGTTTAAGATCCTTATTTCGTTGATTTTGATGACATTTACTGACTGTAGCAGGAGCTGTGTTTCAAGACCTCCTAACGCGAGAACTTTCCATTGTAAAAACCAGTCACTCACTCACAAGTAATTCTTCTAATACAAATAATATACACGCAACCACCCCCACTGAAATACAGCGATCTTTGTCAGGGAGGGGAGGGCGTTTAACACATGGTATATCTTACAGCTTCTTCCGAGAAACATTTACAAACGCATGATCAGTGCAAATCGTGCATTACAGCAATCTTTCTGATGGCCGAACGTTTAGAATATGATTGAAGATTCCAAGGCAATTCAAATCTACATTTGTTAGAATACGTTAAACCTTCAGCTTGAAGAGATATAAGCTGCCTGGGTTCAACAACATCGAAAGTTACTCAAACACACGTTGTCAGTTAATGCCGCATCATCATCAGTTTGTTTACAGAAATAATTTTAAGCAGTGTAAAAGGATTGAGTAGGTCATTTTGGACAAGTTTCACAGTTGCGAACAAACATTTCATTTTTCTGCTTGAATAAGCCAGCCAGACCGAAATGCAAAGAGCTGGATTATTGTTTCACAAAAAGGCACAATTTATCATCAAGTGCCAGAAGTGGAATAAGCGAAAGCACAAGGACAATGAAACAGTTCGCTAATTTTTCCACAAAGTGAGCATTCATTTGTAAGGTACTTGAGCAATAGACGTAAAGGGTACAAAGAGCTAAATGCAAATTCACGCCCAATATGGGTTGGAAAAATACTGGATAGTTCTAACACTGCGATTAATAAAAGCTTTTAAACGTCTCATTAACGCTGGACTGTCACTGTATTGTTTCTACATCCGTATGACGCTGTCTTGGTCCTTGTTGTTCCTGTTAGATCAGCAAGATCTAGAACAGGCAAAGGGCGGTCTCTGTATGAAGCCAAATCTGACTTCTTAAATGTATTCTTGGCTCGATTTTCTTCGCAAAGTATGTACGTGCAGGAATTTATAGCAACTCAGAAAAGAAAAGCGCATAGAGGCCGGGAAGAGCTGAGCATGCGTAAATCGGTGATTCTGTCGTGGAGTTGACCTCTTCTGTCAATCAAATAAACCAAATAAGGAAATGACAAAACGCCTCATCATGAGAGAAACCAGTGAGGGCTTGTGCCACACCCAGAACACACAGCTAGTTGTTTCCGTTTAATTTTCCGTTAAAAATTTATGCTAATTTGCTGCTTTGTTATTGCCTAGCCTGAATTGTTTTGGTTTTAGTCATAACGTGCTTTGGCTCTTGGTAAACACGTCGAAGCCTTACCGACCGAACAAACGTTGAGAACTAAACAAATCTGGAAAAGTGATGGTAGTTTGCAAGGAAGCCACTGAGACTCTGACAGACATGTTTCAGATCTCAAACTTGAATCGTAGCTAGCATTTTCGTAGTACCTTATATGAAGTGCATGCTAAGAACTGCGGAAGGCAATGCATTTTGGGAAAGATTAAAACATGGCGTGTGCTATGAACATTTTAACTAACAAATGTCTGAAAATCTCAAGGCAAAAAGTAAAACCACCGTAGACCGTTCTGCAGCGTCTACTTAGCACGAAATAAACTGTCGCATCTCATTTCACACGGCTGGAAGAGCAATTAACACTGAATCACTTTTGCATGAGAGAAGCCTTCCTAAGCTCCAAACCGGAAGAATAACATGAATATTTACGCAAGCATCCTGCTTTTACTACTTGACCATGACGCAGGTTTAGTTTCCAATCGTTATAATCATGAAATTCCATCAGTGCTACCATTACACCATCATACCTTAACATCTTTTCTAAAACATATATATATTTCCCAATTCTTTATCTTTTGCAACGTTCTTTCCAAGGACACTACACCACATAAAAACAAGTCTAATTTCTGCACCGTCACTGAAAACAATATTCTCTTTAATCCCGAGCAAATATCACAAATTGCATGCTGTTTACGGTACTGCTTACGCAGTCTTGAGTGAATTCGTACTAAAAATATTGCTTCCCAATCCTTGTACATTATATAGTGAACTATATATGTCCTTCATCTGCAACTTCCCAGGGAAATCAAATAACATAAGCAAGATTTCTCGCCAACTTTAATATCTGGTGTCCTCCTACTCATAGTGACTTATAAACGATTTGGAAATATTTCTGCGTAAAAATAAATTGTCGTTTCATTAATTCTGGCTGCAATTTTGCACGTAGTCTTCAATTCAGTTCAGGGAAAAAAACTATCACCTAGTGACCAGTATTTTAAAGAGGTCTGTTCAATAACAAAGTGAGAATTTGCAATTAATTATTTCATTTGTAAACTCGTATTGTAGCCGAACAAGTCTGTATGGTATTATTTGTTTGTGACGCTCTCTAAGAACACCAAGATTTGCCAATGATACAAAGCCCTTCCTGAATGGAACAGATAAATATTACTACACATGCAGACGGTACATCTAAGCTATTTGAGCTTCAACAACATCTCAGTTGTTGGAAATACTCTAGCTATCATGAACTATTTCTGCTTTAAAAACTCCTCCAAATGATAATGGCGAAATCAGAACTTACACATGTAAGCAACTTTGTTCAGTTCAACACTCCTGTTTCTAGAAAGCATCCACAATCGCAAAACATTTCTCAACCTTTTAAATTAACTTCTGAGTGCTGTAAAATAAATCAATTCATTACACTGGAGAGGCGAGAGCAGGACCTGTGATATTTGCAAAACTTTTTACTCGCCATGAAGTTTGCTTCAAGCCAGCTAGCAACAGTTGAGATAAAAGTAGAGTGGCGAACCAGTTCAGCTAAGTTATCAGTCACAATTATACTCCATTTTTTATTTTGTGATTTATTTCATGCTGTGCCGAACTTTCGTAACATTTTGGGTATAATTTTGTAATTTTTTACAGAGCCTTTGCTTCCCGTCGATCCTGTTTACAAACTTGAAACTAGAGCAACTAAAAGCAAGCAAATCTAAGTGTTTTTAGAAAGGTCAAGACAATGAAAAACAAATTATTTTTAATGCATAACCCAGGTAAAGTAACTTTTATAATTTTTCGGTCTTGCATGACTCATCTTTCAGGCTAACTTATCGGTGAACACTGAAACACTTTATGGCTATTACTAAACTAGCAGGGACATTTTGGTATCTAGGAGGTATTTATCATCGACTATAGGCCAGCTGCTTCGAATTAAACCCGTAACTTTGATTTTCCTCCATACCAAAGCTAAAACGAAATATTTCATACAGTGCACGCTAAGTAGGATTTTCAAGGTACGTGACTAACTTTACCAAGCGAATTTATTGAGTAAAATCCAAACGATACGCTGCCGGTCTTTAAATTGGCTATGTTACCAACGTGCTATTTTAGGTATCGAGTGTTTTGATCCTTCTCGAGTCTGGGAACTTGAAAGTTCAATTGCCTTGCACGTTGGCTAAAATCCAAACCAAATTGTTGACCTGCTTATTAATTAAATGATGTATCAGAGCCTAAATGGGATTTTGATATGCGAAAGAGGTTTTTTTTTTTTTTCTTTTGATGTTGCTAATCCATGTAAAACTTTTTTGAGCGTCATAACAAGCACCAAGGGTGTGAAGTAAAATGCAGCGAACTCTTCTGTCCGTGAAGAAAGGAAAACAAATTGAAGAAATTTTATCTTTGTTTTCAGGCAGACAGATACAAGTTTAAAAAAATCTACTAAGGGAATTGAAATTGGAACTAAAAAAAAATGTCTACAAAAAATTTAAATAGTTGCATAGGGGATCTCACAGCTCGCGTGACAACCCCATGACTAGCTCACATGGCGGCCAACTATGAACTTTGGTATTTTCACGTGAAACAGTGATGAATAGTAACTGGTAACATTGTTATTTTATCCTATCTAGTACGTGATGTCATTATGGCTATGCTAGAGTTTTGGCGGGAAAAAAATTGTTTTGTTTGGATGGGTTTGTTTTGGTTCTAGAGGTCATGTGCCCAGCCACGCGCCTTCGTCACTAAACGAACAAATTCTAAACACTTGTTTCGCGAAATAAAAAAAAGGCAAAAATCTTGGGATCGGAATGGATTTGCAATTGCACCCAGAGAATCGGGATTTGTTTTTGTTTCGGCCCGACTGTTACATCTTTTACCTTCAAATAACGACAATTTATGAAGCAAACGGAGATCCGTCTCTCGAGAAGTGGTGTACTGTTCCAAGTAGCCGACTTGGAGTAGCACGGGGATAAGTCATCACAGTGACTTAGAAGTGCATCATTGAAATCTTGACATCTGTTTTTGTAGACTAGGGAGGGGTTGCACGCAGTAACCTGGAATTTAGGAGATGAACTTGAAATTTAAAGTATTGCACGGGTGAATCTCGAGGAAATGATTGCCAGTTAAGTCCTAATCACGAGAAGAACTCGAGTCACATTTGAATTACTGTTGAGTTTCTCCCGTTTTCAGTTTTCATTTGATTCTCTTTTTGATATTCAAAGTTGCTCGAAAACCAACGAAACCCGCTGGCGTGGGGCGATTCTTGAAAACCAATAAACAAACAACTGCACGGCACTAGTTCATGGTCGGGAGCGCTCGATGTTTCAAGTTGTTTCTACCCTTACCACTTGCTGAATAAAAATGCTCTGAACTCACTCCAAGCCGGATAGTAAAGAGAAAAAAAAATCCCGAACATTAAGAATAAAGAAATCCCGAACATTAACATCTCCCTTTCTAAAGACTACACAATTTTCTAATGATTATTGGAAACATCGTTACCCAGATTTTACTGTAAGCGCCATCAGCTTTGAACGAGTCCTGAGCCTCGACAAGTCAGAAGTCAAACATTGAAGCTACTTTTTACCAAACATGAGCGTAGCCACAACACTCTGCCAACGACACAGTTAGCTCCCGATATAGGGAGGGAATGTTTTTATGCGATCGTTTTGTTTACTAAACAGTCGCGGGACCTCTGTACTTAATACAAAGTTTCTTCAGACGTTTTTGCCGTAGCCAATTAAAGTCAAACGAAAACGACGTCATGGACTCCATAACCTGAATGAAACCGGCTTCCAAACAAGTTAAATTGCAGTTCAAAATTACACCAGCTTTCCAACTAATAGGAAGGATCGCGATTTACAGAGAGCTATGGCACCCACGCAGCCACAGAATTGCAGAAACTCGTCTAGCTAGGTTTTAAAGCTTCAACAAAGGTTGATTCGATTTATAGCCATTAGAAAACCTGGTTGGACGAGATATAATTTGCAAGTTAGAGTGGCGATCTAATACCGCGCGTTAAGGCTACGAGAACACGGAAGTGGAACGAAAATATCTCGCAAATTAATCCTTGAACGATACGGTACGCAAGCGGTTGCTACGTTCGAAATAACTAACGCTCTCCGTAAGATCAAAACCAGCAGCTTACCTTCCAAAATGCTCGCTCTATCGTCAAATCCAAACGGTTGAGGAAAGCCGTTGAAAAAATTCGCCGTTTGCTGACCACAACTTTTGTCAAAATACGATGTGCTCTCCATAAAATTCAGCATCTTCAACTGAGAATTCGTGTTTACATCGAATAGTTGCGTAGAGTAATGCAGCGCCATGACTCTGTGCAGAGAAAATTAGTGTTAACATAGTTTTCCGTTTAGAACTGCTACATAGCTGCTTGTTAATTGTGATTAACAAAAGCTTCATACACGAGGCTAATATTCCGCATTGATGCGGAATTTGTGTAAACCGATCAATTTTAAATTGCAAATCGTCCCGGTGACTTACAGCAAGTTGTGTAATCATTGTAACAGCAAAGTGGACGCAGCGGTTCTGCGATTTGTACGTAAATTATAGTTTGCTGTACAATAATTCGACGAGTAGAAACGCACCAATTCAAATGCGGAATGTTTTCCAAAAAAATTGTATTTCTAAACAGATGCCTGCCCAATTTTGCCCTCTAGTGTAAATATAAACATTGACTGTGAATTTTGCAAAGCGTTTGTCACGAGTAGTCGGCAAAATATTCGTAAAAACCATCGCAATAATTCAGCGATTTTAGCAGTTACTTAAAACAAAATGGCAGACCTTAATGCAACATGAAATCTCCCTGGAAGAGTAGTTGTGCATCGGTTTCGTTCTTCAAGAGAAAAGCCACATCACATGAAATACGCGTAGCATTTATAGTCAGTCGAAGGGCAACGGATTGTAGCTACATCTCACACGTATGCTCACTCCACTAGCGTTACGCTTTCCGAGAATTTCATTCCACTTCCGTTTTTCTCAGAATTGAAAGGATGCAAGCCATGCGTAATGAACAATATTTATCTTCTCACAATACAATATCAGATTATCGAGTACAAAACAAAACCTTCAGACAAACAGGATGTCAAAATATCGGACTAGATTTTCGATTTCCTATCGGTAAATTTTACAACTGTAGTTTATTTACCCGAAGGTGCGCCAAACTGACGCAATTCATTTTCAATTTCTCAGAATCTTGGCGCTCTTTCTCAGGCAGTCATGCTCGAATCACGAGGAATATCGAAAGTCATGCCACTTTAAAAGCCGGGCTTTGAAACCGAAATTTGGCGAGATTAGACGATTTTTAGTTGACATTTTGCTGCTTAAAAGCAGTGAAAAAAAAGTCCTAACCTTCAACAAGCCTTGGGCTCTCTTCTGATTTTCCATTTTCCCGATGTCAACATGTTATTTCTACCTCCTGACTGTTTTCGCTTTCAGTTCTGTTGCGTTACTATTGAAAGTTAACCCGGATGTCAAAGTATGGCGTGACATAAGTTACGAAAAGCACGAGTGCTTATCACACGCGCGTGCTCATAAACTTCAATTCACTTCAAAAAGTTAAAAAAATTTAAGTAAGATCGCGTGAAAGCATCATGCCTCATCTTTCTCAGAAAAGCAAAACTGAATCATTATGTCAATGGCGGTTTAGGTCCCGCAAATGGAGAAATCCCCTAACTATTTGAACTTTTGCCCAGATGAAAACAAAATGAACAACTTGACTAATCGTTGGAAATTTAAAGTCCACCACTTTGTCACATTTAAAAATAGAAGTGAAAAATAAGGAAAGATTTTTCCGATAAAGAGCTTCTTTTACAATTGTTTAACAGATAAGAACACGAAATATCAGATTTCGATTTATCTAACTTTCACTTTCATTTTTTATAAGTAACAAATGCAGCCCTAACTATACAGTTGACTTGCCACCTCTAGCGTACAAAAATAAGTTCTTTTTAATTTTGTTTATTTCCGTGATCTCGCGCAAACTTTTCTTGTGCCCAGTTTAAGTTTTTCCTCACGCACTTATTGTCTCCATGTCTCTGGGGATGGTTTTTCGCGTACATCTCAGTTTGTCTTATTGGAAAATTTATCTCAGCCATTTTCAACAGAATATAAACGGACACTCGGGCGACTACTTTGCGTAAATCCCTCCAAAAAAGCAGAGCCCAGTTATGAACAAAGAGTCCGAAATTACGGGTTTCGTGTAGACAGTTGGAGATATGGCCCGACGATTGGGAACAAATATGTGAAAACATCAGAGTTGTTTGAACATGCATACCCTTCATGCGGTGTGAATTTTAACTCTCGTTTCTTCGTTGGAGCGGGGGTTAAAAAAATAAACCCTCTTACTCTATCTTTGATTTTAAGGAAGGGGCAAAAACATCGTCGAGACTTTACTAAAAAGTATTAACAAATCAGAAAGTTTAAAGTTTTTCTCAGTTAGGGGTAACAGGGAAATTTTCTTTTTTTTTTTTTTAAAAGAACACATGATTTTTATTTTTAGTCGGTTCCGATGTTTACCAAACCTTAACAGGCGATGACTTCGAATTCGTGAACTGAGAAGTTATGGAAGTTATGGCCGATTGCCTTTTTTATTCTCAGAAGTGCAAAATGGTACTTAATTTAGATAGTACAGAAAAAAAGAAGAAACTTTTTCCTTCACGCAACAGGTAACCACCTGATTGTTAGCATATCGAAGCCAACTTTGGCCAAGTTGGAAACTTTTCGAGGAAATCGAACGTCAAGTTCCGGTTTCCATTTATGACTTCCGCTGGTGTCCAAGCCATTATACTAGCAGCACGTCCCCCTCCTCCCATGAATTATGCGGCCGGCTGGAATCTTTTCGCTCGTTTTCAAAACGGAAATGGTGAGTGCATTTATAGTCTATGCTTTGTCGTTCGAGTCTATTCGCAAAAAGAAATACTTGGAAATGAAAAGTTGATCGCAAAAATAATCAAATTCCATATCTGGTTGTTTCAGATCAGAGGAACAGGCAACCCTTGAAGTGGAAACCATGTTGCGCTCAAATATCTCAACAGAGTTTGACGTTTTCGACGGGGAAAGAGGTTCTAAATGATAAAAGAGAATGGATTTTGAGAGCTGAAGAACGTTATCTCTGTTTTGTAATAAATGTCCTATATTCACTTCTCTACTGCACAGTAATCTTTTCTTGAGCAAAACGTGATACATTTAAAACAGTCCTAGTTTCTACGCATAAAACCTTCATGAACAATGGAGAAAAAGGTTCTAGGTGACAAACAAGGATTTCGATCGCTAAAGACCTTCATTTTTTAATCAATTTTTTTAATTGATTCTTTTTTCACCCCTTTACAGCTATCTTATCTTGATTAAATCAAGACAAGTTCATTTAAAACAGTGCTGGTTTACAATCAATAGCTTACACCATAATCTTTCAACAAACATACACTATACTTTTGCGTGCTTCACAATCACTATTGAAAAAGGCCACTTAGTGAATTGGAGTCAAAAAAGTTTTAACGTTGACTATGATGACATCACTGAGAAATACAAATGTTATAATTTACCATGTGACCTCTTTAAATTGGTGTCTTCCACCGCAAAGTTCTAGTCACATAATTCGTTTTTCTGCTCGACAAGGCGACCAAAACGATCCCAGCTTGGTGCACTGCAAAGAGACCATTTCTTTAATGTTCGACACGTAGAGAGAGAAGAGAATTACTTTCAACCCTTGATCGAGTACTTAGGACTCGCTAAAAATGGAGATAACTAAACCTTGTTTTTTCTGCACGGCCGGTGACAAAGTTCAACTCTGTCTTATGAAAAACAACTAATGACTCCAGTGATTCAGAAGCAAGGGAACTGATAAGTAACAGGCAACAAAAAGTTATGGTTTGCATCGAACCGAGATATTCAACGCTTTAGATCTACGTGGGACGTGCACGAACATCTTACAGAGAACACTGCGGCTTGTGATTCGCAAAGATCTGTAGGCGAACCTCCAACTACTACCACTACCTCGTCCTTTTTCAACCTTTTGACCCTAAGAGTGATCGGCATCAAATTTCTCCACACAATGACAACTTCTGAATCACAAATACTAAATTCACAAGAATAAAGGAAATGATCATCAATTAAAGAAGCTCTTGATTGTTAAACAAATTCTCCTTTTCTGCACTTTTGGAAAAGTATAGAACAGTACGGAGAATATAAGGTGTTAAGTGTCGTGCCCAGTTCTTTCTCTTCTTAGAGGCTGCTTCTTTTCCACCTTCTCCCCAACTTCTCTGCCATTTCGTTTTCTTTTAACATCCATGGGGTTTGCGTTCTGAGTTTGGTAACCTGTCTCCTCTTTCCATTTCTTTCCTTTGAATGTTCACTAGCTACAAGAGGGGTCTTTCTTTTGCAGATCCTACAGGAACAAAACCAATAAACAACGCCTCAACCCAAAAGCCAGGAATTACACAGCGTTCCAGAGCCTCGCGTTCTCTTAACTAACCCTTAAATTCCTAGGAGCGACCAGGAGAGAATTTTTCCTTACAATATCAATACAATATCAAGCAGACAAGTGATGAGGATAAAGGAAAATATCAACTAGAGGATTATTAGTTGATCAAATGCAAAATTCTCACAACTAACATCATAAGAATCGTATGGCAGACAGTAAGGAGAATTGCTAATGAGATCTTGGACGCGAAAGGGTGAACTGAAGCGGACCACACGAACTTGCATGGACTCTATTATCCCTACGTATTAACCCTAGCTCTGTAGTGCTAAACAAATTCTCCAAGTCGGAACCACAAGATGTCTATATATAGAACACCAATAATTTGCTGAAGAAGCATCGAGATACGCCATGTTACGGAAGAATTTTTAGCGTGAAATTTGCGGAAAAGAATCCATTATTGGCGCCTTCTCTCGCTGGATACTTTATTGAAAGACATCTAAAATTTAGCATCTGCTTTATAACTTCTTTGGTAAAAAACTGCGTAGTCGACAATATAGTTATCGTGTCACGTCAAAAGTCACGCAAGCGTTACATGTTATTATGTTACATATTATCCGTGCATCTTGTCAACTGCTTTCATCAAGCTTCGGTAATGACAAAAAATATATATGTCCGCACATCGTTTCTAAAAATTGGGTGTTTGACGGTCGAGTCTCATGGCTCGGAGAATTGCAGTTCCCCTGAGTGAATCCTAGTTCTTCGCACTAATCCCCGAAGCAACTCGTCAAGCTTTTCTCATAGTTCGCCAGTGCCCATTTATTTTCCTGGGTGGAGAGGGACAATACCTTTTTGTACACACCTGGGTGGAGAGAGGCGCTCGGAAAGTAAAGTGTCCTACCCAGGGCTCGACATTAACGGTAGTCCACTAGCCACAGACTGATAGAAATTCAGTTTTGGCTGGTGGTTTTCGGTTTCCACCGGCCAGTTTGGCTAATAAACGAACTGAAATTGACGTAGCATCTAAGATGTCACCAGCCACTTGGCTAGTAAGTTGAAAAGTTAGTGTCGAGCCCTGCAGTACTTAGACCACAACACAATGACCGGGATAATGGTAGAACCCAGACCCCTTAGTCCGGAGTCTTGCGCAGAAACTACTGTGAGCTCCAGCATCTCTATGGCTAGTCATACCCAATGCCATTTACCCGCCCCTTTAGCAATGATATGACCAGCGTTGTGAAAAGAAATTGTCTACGACGAAGTTACAACACTTAACATATATTGAGAGGGGTTTAAAAATACCTGAAGAAATACTTTTACGTGAAAGTTAGCAGTCAAAAGCCTGGACATGACTTAAACTTTCTCTCTAACCCTGGATCTGGTTTTCAAGCGTTGGAAAAAGAATATAAACTGACGATCGAGAATCTCTCTGCTCCACGATCGTTTCCAGTTTTTCAAACCGTGACGGCACTCGAAATAGTCGATATTTCTCATAATATGGAACGATCGGGCAAAATTGTGTAAGTTTAATTTTTCCCCGACGATCGAATTCAGCATTGCCCTTAAATAAAATAAAAACATTGTTTTATTAGGCCATTGACCCAAAAATCAAACCCGTAATACTAAATTTAAATGATCGAGAATAGAGTAATGGTCACAAAACGTGGTATGGACTGCAAAGAACGAACTTGAAAACCGTAGCAGAATTTCATTCAAGTTGGATATGCAAAGCCTGGTCCCTTAGAGAAGATTGAATTACACAAGTGTTAAACACGAGAAAATCAGCGAACAACGCAGACAGGCTTTAAATATTTTTGGAGATTTCTCACACGTATCTGGTATATTTAAATATGTTTATATAACAAAATATTATATAACAAAATGTTCACGAGGCAAATTCTGTGTTATTCCGGTCCATTATATCAGACACCCATGATTTGCGTGCGTTCATTTTGGTCCTTTGAACTTGAACTTTCCCTCACTAGTCCACGTGTACTGAATGAACTTGACCTGGTCAACTACAGCCTCACGATACGCGAGAAACTCCGCTAGCTGCGAGCGGCGAACCCTGTGGCTACCCACGTGAACAAGATGAGTTTACCGCTGATGGTGACTTCCACTCAGGTTGTCAAAATGGCGGTCGCCACCACCGACAACAGTCCCTTTCAGGACTACACTCACCCAGACGATCAAACTACACATCACATGTTACCCCCGGGTTCAAATCATTTACAGTACGATAAGTGTACCTTGCCCGCTTCAGAAGGTATTCATTTTTCTCGCCAAAAATGAAATAATTTGAAGTAATATTTTGACGAATGCTAGTCAGTTAGCCAGTACTGCTTAGGATGCAAATATGCGAAAATTCTGAAGTTTGTCGTTCTCTAACACGTGTCAATCTTCGGACATGCTTAAAATTCCCAAGTTATTATATTACTCAGCATGCAAGAGAGACCAAGGAACCCATGATTTTCGCGCGCTAATAACAGTGACGTAAACTGTAAGCATGACTAAAGAAGGAGCGTGACTTGAAGCGTGCGACGAATTAATTTAATTCATAGCACAAGAAATAAATCCTATGTCACGCACGTGTAAAATATGTATTACTAATTCTACGGAGTGTGTGGAAATCACAAGACACATCTAAGCTTAACTTGTTCCTCATTCTTTGGAACACGGGGGTTTGAATACTCACGGAATTCGCTCAAATAACGTTGAAATTGTACACTGTACTTTAGACTGCCCGTGACGATCAGCGTTACAGCAACCCATACGAACTGTTAAAACCTGTGCTTTGGTCGTGAACACAAGCGACTTAATCCGAAGTGTCGCTCTTAGGATAATTGGCTTTTTGGAAAATGTGTAAGTGAAATATAAGTTTCATCGCTTCTTGTACAACTACGGTGTTCCCAGGAATTTCTTAAGTGTAACATGCCCTTCATCTGAGAAGGGAAGAAGCGAGGAGAAAGGCCTGCTCAATGCTTCTCGTATGGAAAATGGTCAAATAGCTGAGGAACGTTGATTCCTTAAAAATTTTAGTTTTAATTTTTTAAAACCAAAAGAAGGCCAGAGATTGTCGAGTGTTACGGCGCGTATCGAGAATAAACACATCACGGTATTCACCAAGCCATGCATTTCTTTGTAAATTCAATCGCGGCTTCAGACAAATCATTCCTGTTTTCTTTCCTAAAAAATGTCCCTCGTTCCATAGGGTGACACCGCTTTTTCTGTACCTTAAAAAACCTCCGTCATATGTTTTCCTCTTTTAGTATCTTGTGGGCCAAAAGCAATGGCGCTGTTCAGTGAGTATGGAACTTTGAAACTTTCTGATATCTACTGTCCATCATTAAGAGAAGATCTTCTAAGACTTGGGAGTTCAAATTGAATTTAAAGTTCCCAGGAAAATTTCCAATGAGTGATATTAACACATCAACAGTAGCTGAGCATGGTCTGTACCTTTAACGACAACGATATTTGTCATCACAGCGGTAAAAAGCTACGGCAAATTGGCCAATCAGATTGTGACATAACTGTCAATTGTGTTGTTAAAACTTTCTTGTGATAATATTACTAGTAAATATACTCTCACGCAAAGTATTGAGATTATCTCCTAAAGAGGCAAACGTTAGTTCTTAACAACCCAGAGTAATCTAAAACAAGTTCCACTTAAAACATTAAGACATTATCCAGAACGCAGGAGAACGGATAACGGAAACATTTACAATCTGGGGGTGTCAACTTGACACTTAATTCTCCACCTTATTCAGAAGGGAACGGATATCAATTTGTAAACATCAAAACTTACCTTAAGTATTTCATCTGGGAATTCCTCTTTGTTGTTTTGAACACACGGAATACAGAACCGCTTGGTGTAGAAAATACTGCATGTCTAATAAAAAAAAAAAGGAAACTTTACAGTGAGTAATTGTCCTTCGAAAATTTTCAGCTGTCTCAGCTTGCAAGTAGTTACAAGATCTTCTGAAACAACCTTTGGCTACATATACTTTGAGGGAACCAAGCTTGAGTTTAAATTTCTGGCATCTCTTTAATTAAGCAGAGCACAACAAGAGCACTAAAACATGAGGACAGTAAATGAATATAAAGTCCATCTTGTAACTACATGAAATATTCAGAGTTGTGTACCATCAAGGTCCAAAGTCCACCTCCCAAGGCAAAGCACCAATGTGCATTGCTCTTGGTTCAAATGAGATACTTGCTTCACTTCATTCAGGTGACTCAATCAAAGAGTTACCAGGTACAGTTGGTCAGCTAACAAAAAAGAGCATTCTCTTCAAAGGGATTTGAATTTCCTCCAAAAAAAAAAAGGCCTCTAATCAGCTTACAAACAAAGTTGCTTATCCATAAATTGCTGTCCAGTGGATAACTATTGACAAAAAAATCCCTGCTGTACAATTGTTATCCCCACTTAAGGCTGAATCCTCTCCCCACCTCTCAATGTTCCCTGCAACCCCCCCTGACTGAGGAATCAACTCAGTGGCCAACATGATGTCCAGCTTACTAATTACAGGGGGGGCAGGGTGCAAGCAGGGGGGTGTTTCAGCCATAGGTGCTAATGACATGATTGTAAAAAGCTTGCTACAGAGTGGTGAACTTCAAATGGGCACGTTTTAGTACACAAATTATGAGGATGAACTTCCCCCTCTTCATGACTCCACAATCTCACTAAAACACAGTCTTGATTATCCCAATTTTTTTTGTTATCCAAACTGGCTCCTCTGATGCCATTTTTTGAAGAATGTAATAAGTCAAATTCGAAATCCATAACAACTTTTCCCCATTAAACAAAGCAGATGAACTAAATCAATAGAATGTTGATGCTATCACATTAACACAGCTTCAAAAAATGATAGAAGTAGTGGGTGCACAAGTGGAGCAGCTTAAAACAAACTGATTTGAGTCAGCATTTAGGTCAAAATGTTGTTATTGTAAAACTTTTTTGTAAATACTTTAACAAATCTTGACAATGATGTGCATTGATTTGAGAATTTTATTTAATTATTGTAAAATATCAATTAAATGATAGGTATTCAGGCTTATGTTTGGCTCAAGAACATTCATATTTTCAAATGCCTGAACAATTGATTATCTGGAATATTTAGCCCAGTCTCCACAAGTTCAGATAATGAAGGTATTCAGTATTACTTTTGGCTGATTAATATTCATAGTTTAATAATCCAGACTCTAAATCATCAAATAATTTGGATATATCAACAAAGTTGAAATGGTAAATTGGCCACCGTGACGATTACAAAAGCTGACATTTCGAGTGTTAGCCCTTTGTTGGAGCGAATAGAGGAATTGTGGGTTGTGTGCTTTTAAAGGCAGAAAACGGAGCTACGTTATTGGTGGGAATAACGTAGCTCCATTTTCTGCCTTCAAAAGCACACAACCCACAATTCCTCTATTCGCTCCGACAAAGGGCTAACACTCAAAATGTCAGCTTTAGCAATCGTTACAGTGGCCAATTTACCATTTGAACTTTGTTGATATATCCAAATTATTTCGTTACCCCCACCGACGCAGCCCCAAACAGTTTCTTTCAAAACCATCAGCCTTTATT